CGTTGGCGAGCTTCTCGGCATTGGTGGGTGCAAGAACGAGCCGGAGGGCGGAGCGAGACGAGACCGCTGCAGCCTCCAGTCCCTCACCATGAGATTGCGCTGATACCGTTGGCACGTCACGTGGACGTCGAGAGTACAAGAGGCGAAGACGACGCAACGCCACCAGGACGGGATAGATCGAGAAGCCTACGGCGTGTTGAATATGCCGGACCACCTGGCTGTACAATTCCTCACCTAGACCGTCATGAGTGATGGAGAGGAGGCAGAGTAGGCGCACCGCCTCCGTCAAGCGGTCACCAAACCTAGCAACAAAGGGAGCAATCATAACTCAACAATTGATAAAAATTGCATTGATAATGGTAACTATCAGGCCACAACACAAAATACCAGTTTCTTAAACACTATGGTCTTCTTTATAACACCGAGTTCCAATGTCAATCTTAGTCGAAAAATATTTAGAAGCAGATTACGAATAGAGAAGGAGTTTACAGACAGCAATTTTTTAAAACTGGTATAGTGACACATTCTCTACTGACTCGCAATTGTATATACAGAAAAGTAAGCTTGCATAAGACAGGTAGGATTGTTGTAATCAATAACAAAGTACTAACCTGGTGGAGAGCCACTCAAGAGCGAGCCGGACAGGCTGACAAGTAGGGTCGTCAGCACAAGTACCCGTGGCAGCTTCGGAGGGCATAGGTTCACATGCTTCCTGTTGAGACAACGAAGTTGATGCGATTGAACCCGAGGTTGTCGGTGAAGATGATGACGAGATCACCGGCATCGCCAATGCGCCCCCGCTTCCCGATTGCAAAATCTCCGTCTGTGCTGCTAATAGATCCTCAACTCGTTCCTCGTTTGCCATCTTCCGCATCACCTATCGCCCACGCGCGCACAAGGCATCCATCCCATTAGACCATTGCGTTTCCTCTTCAAGCTACTTCACAGACCACGCCTACCTCCTCAAGACAGATGAAAAGGGCAGTGAGTTCCTTGCGCACAGAAAGAATTGGCTTCAGTTGGGAGGAAAGGTTAGCGAGGCTGGAGACACTGGGTATGAGCGGACCTTGACCGGAACTCAGCATTGTCCGATCCAATGCGGCCAGCGAAAACCCTAGTCCTGTGCGTGAATCTTCCAGAAGAGAGCGCTGTGCCTGCAGCCACTTGTGGACGGTAGAGATGTGCGCATTTCTCACATCCTAGAAATAAGATGGAATGTTATTAGTTTCGCACAAATAAAAGGCGGTAGTTAGGTGGAAATTAATACCTTGAAGCAGTTAATATTGAAACTGCTTAAATTTAATTTGGTAGGCACTACGTCCCCCTTTTCGACATTTGGCAGCTCTACGACGCCTGAAAGAGAGAACAGTTATGGTCATGCGCGATGCTTACCATTATCGATTCCAATGACCTCATGAATCAGCGCCTCGAAAGTGGTTGGAACCATGAATGGTGTGACATAATCCAGATCTAGAAATTAATACAAAAGAAAACTTGCGTAACTGCTACCCTTTACACAACGGTAACCACTCAATCAAAACTAGCTTCAGAGATAGTTTCTTTGAGGATGCATTCAAAGAAAAGCTGTGGCTTATTGAGAATTATTCTGGCAACTATGTGCTTACTTCGACTAAAGAGAATGAACAACGGTTGATGAGGTGACGAGTGAGACGGTGAATCCTGATCGTCGGGGGCAATAGTGACCTCCGAGCTGATCAACTTGTTAGTCCTGATTTGACAAATAGCAGAGCTGAGGCCAGCTGCTGAGACCTGAGCCGCACTGCCAAAGGCGTGAAGCTAAAACAGGTGAGTCATAGGCCAGCACCAGTAATAGTTAAGCTTAAGAAAGGCATTCATCTGCATACGTCCGAAGAATGCTTTTTGATTGAATGAGTGCATCACTGGTCCGATGTTCGGATTCTTAAATGTGGCTTTCGATTCAAACGATTTATAGAAAAAGTAGAAAGTTTGTAAAGTAGCTCCAGGTGACACATCTAAGGTCAGTTAGAGGATAAGCGATCAAAGGTTGGGCGGAAAGATTTAAGATGCTAAAATAGAGGAATTCTTGAGAGATTTCAACGGGTGAGCTGAGCAGAATAGAAAATGTGCACTTTCTGATCATCCTCATAAAGCGAAAACGTACGTTGATGTCTGTGGGAGCTTGACTACCATGAAGGGTAGCTTCCAAAACGTGACTCAACATCTGTCCAAAGTGATACGGCCACGAGGTGTCACCATGGAGAAAGTAATTGGTGTAGACCTCGGGAAGGTTCAATGAGATTAGATCAATATCAATGGGGATCCAACCAAAGGAGAGATCAGCAATCTGAAGATCGTCCCCTAGGATACCTCGCGACTCTAGCAAGGTCTTTACCGCCGCCGTCTAGCGTTAGTAGAAGAGCAGGTGAAAAAAAATCTACGCTCACCTGTTTAGGAACGAATGCAACCAATCTGCACCTCTTTATTTGAGCCTTGCGGTCTACCTCAGAGTGATTAATTATAGTTTGAACGGATTGCTTAGTAGGAGTAATTAAGTAGACAAGTCTGAAGAGATGCATAATGGCTACGAAGTACTGACTGTACCTGGAAAAAGAAGGCTCTGGAGGTAAATCCTGGATTTTGAAAACTTTTTTCACTCCAAGGCTGGAGAGAACCCGCATAGATACTATGCGATCAAGGGCTCGAAGCAACGTGGTTTCAATAAGCATATGCTTCTCCTCAGGAAGCTTCACATAGTTTTTACATCAAAATTAGGAATGAGGACTACCTTTTTGAGGAGCACTTCAATATTTTTGAGGGTAGTCGCCTTGAGCTTCTCCAAAGGTACATTCATATTGAAGGTAATTATGAAATTAAAGAGTATTTGTCCTCATGGACCTAAGATGGAAGTAGTATAGGAGACTAGATTTTATAGGTATCCGATAAGTTTTAGGAATAAACACTACAGATTTACATTTACTATTTCAACGAATACATGGTAAACAGTAGCTCACATGTGTAGAAATGTGTCATTCAAATACACCACAATCCTCTTTAAAACATGGAAATTCGATTCGTATTGGAAGCTGATATTATCGAACATCAACTTAAATGAGCATCAAAATCAAAATAGCACGAAATCATACTTCAAGCCATGTTTTCATTAGCAGGAAAATAAGATCGAAAAATATACATGAGAACGCTTCCTGGAAATATGCTAAAGAGAAGATATGATTAAGCCAGGAATGACATTAAAAATATCCACACAAACATGGACAAAAGAAATTTCAGAGCCCACTTGTTTGGAACAATAATTTGATGCAATTGAGAAGGAGAGTGAAATACCAGAAACGATAAAAGCTGGACCACTATCATTGAAAAGGACCCTAGTTTGTGCGCAATTTAATCGTAAAAGGCATCCAAATCTGACCAAGTATCAACGACAGGCCGTAATTTGTGCAACTATGAAGGCGATCGATCATATGGAGGTAACGACTAATAAGATTTATTATATGACAGAAGCTGACATAATGCATGATTCGGCACTGCACGCCTCATCCAATAAAGTACTATGATTAAGCGAAATCTCAGAAAACGCAAACAACAAGCTTGAAACGATGAGGGAACTGCAAATTCACCTCGGCAGAGACCTCACAAACGGCCTAGCAGTATCCTCTATTTCAGCGGTGCCATGATTGCAGAGAAACAATTCGTCCTGACACATTTCTCAAAGCGGTAATCAGTAAATTCAAAATAGGCTTCAAAATAGCAGAATAAATTTAGGGATAACTCTATTAAT